ATAATAATAAAAAATCCCTATTAGTGCCCCAGCAAGTTGAATTCATTAAGGTCCGTGTCACCGTTATCAGATGTTGCTTCACAACCCAGTGAGTGTATCAGGATACGAACCCCCTGGTCTTGTCCTCTTGGATGTCTCCCTGATATTGACAGTGGTTGGTTCATATCCTTTCTCCCCCCCCCCCAGCAAAAAAGGATGTGGGTGGACACTGAGCGTGTCTCACTCAGTGCAATGTAACACAGCTGGAAGCCTCAGCACACGGACTGCGTGGCTTCCCTTTGATGGCGGCGTCACAGCTGGAAGCCAAAAGTTGTGTGTGTGATCTCTCTGCCTGTTGCGGTCCCCCTGCAGCGTTTGGTTTAGCACAATAGCTAAAGAACAAGGAAGAGACCACAGCATCCCAGTTTTCGGGGGAAACGGCAGAAGGAGAAACAGTGCGAAAAGAAAGAAAACAAATGGAATCATCGCTGGCCCTCGTATATATCATCCTGCTCGCTCCTTGAGAAAATATGCTGAGTGTTTGGCAATTGAAATTAAATACGCCGATGGAACCGCTCGTTTCCTCGCCTTGAGAATCAATTTGTATCTGATGCAGACAGTGTGCTGACACTCCAAACTGCTTCAATTTGCATTAGAAAAACCCTGCAGTTTCATTAAGAAAGGAGGCGTAATAATATTTAGTTTCTTGCAGCCAATTTCTGTGGGCTGCTGGAAGTGAACAGTGGGGCAGAGAGCTGGAATCTAGGCTTGATCTACTAGGGTAAGAAGCCCACCTTTGTCCCCTTCTGGCTTAGCAAAGCGTGTTCTCCTTCATGGAGAGCACGTGTTGCGGTGGGGTCTAACAAGACTCTAGGTTAATGGGTGGAACCGTTTGGATGGCCATGACTGTGATTGGGCCAAGTTGAGTTGTTGGGGAGACTTTGGGGAGACTTGGATGTTACCATTTAGAGGGTTGGCCCAAAGGTTATATATTCTTGGCACATAGCTTTTTCGGCCTCTTTTGCTTCGTGCATCGGATCGCCTGCCCACCCTCCCTAATTTAGGGCTGTTGCATTTGACATTGTTATGCCTGTCATGGGGTCGTCTGCCGTTGGGACAGGGGCCTGGTAGGAATTTTGTCCATTTGGCAGATTGGCTGGTGCCATTTGGTTTTTGCCTACTGCGTAGCAAATCGTCACAACTTGTAAGGTTGCAGTTAGGCATTGGTTAAAATTTGGTTGGTGGTGGGGTAAGGGTTGGCTGTGCCTGCCCCTCCAATGCTGCTGCTGCAAGGGAATTCCATTAAAGGAATCCAGCGGTTTGCCATACATTTGTCCGTATCCCTGGCAAGGGGCTAGGGCCGTGCAAGCCCCTGGGAGCATGGGGGAGGGGTGATGTATGGTGCCCAGTCCCATTTTCTCCCCAATATTGTTTTCCCTTACTGGCTTTCGCTGGAATCCGGAAGTTAGTTCTGTCCCGGGGTGGGGACAGATAGTCGTAACCAATGCCTAAGCAACCACTCACATTATGTATTTTAATAAAGTTGTGGCCAAAATTATGCCAAAAACCTTAAACAAAAATTCTGAGTGAATTGTGATTTATTCAGGGGGTGGCTTGGGGACCTCGATGCGCAACAGTGTCTGAGGAGGGGGTGGCACACCAGTGGCACCCGCCCCCCTGGCGGCTGTGATCTTGCCACTTCCTGGAACTAGATAACCAAGGCATTCCAGAAGCATCCATGGTTTGTGCCAGAGATAAACTTTGGGAAAGTGGGACAGTTCTCGCCTCTTATATTCTAAACCGTCCCGTGATCCTTGTATGAAAAGCGGTGTGGAAATTTAATAAATAAAACAAATACACCAGCCAAGTATGATGAACCAGGCAAAACTTTGGGGTGGTTTGACGCAGAACTGGAAAGAAAACACCCAACGAAAGAGGAATGGATTTTAAAGTGGAGCTGGTGAAACTAACAGGGAAAAAAGGGAAAAAAACCAACATGACAGAGTATACATGCCCTTTTTTGTAATATCTGGGGGGGGGGGGGGGAATAATTGGATGAAATTGCGAGCAGGATTTGAAATATGAGCAGCGGTAGAAGATTGATAATTATATGAAATAGAAGAAAATGTCTTAGGTGAAATGTTCATTAGAATGCAGTATTTAAAAGGGGATGAGATTAAGAGCAGCATGGAGGGAAATGCGGGAGGTCAAAGTTTAAAGAGAAATTTGTAACAAATTTGGAATCTGAAATATACATGTAAAGATTTTTAAGTTTAATTTTTAAAAAAAGGCTCTGGGGGGAAATAAAAAGAATTGTGGTGGTTTGCAGCCACGGTGCAATGTGGAAATCAAACTGCAAGTGTGAATTCTCTTTATTCTCTCACCAGCTTCCATATCTGAGATGTTCTTTCCCTTCCTCTCTCTTTTGTTCTTTCCAGCACCCAAAGACAATGAGGAACGAGTGTTTAGAGAGCGGATGCGGCCCCGGAAGCGCCAGGGGGCCGTGCGACGCAGGGTCCACCAGGTTAACGGGCACAAGTTTATGGCTACCTACCTTAGACAACCAACATATTGTTCACACTGCCGAGACTTTATATGGTAAGTATTTTATGATATGTCATTACCGGGTAACGCCTAGCTCAGGGGAAGACTGAATTAGGCCCAGAATTAGGCCCTGTTTGGCCTGCAAGGATTTCCCCCCCTCCAACCAGACCCCGCTGCCCTACACCTGGTTTCATATGTGGTATCGGGTGTGGTGCAGGCAAAGCTGCAGGCCCACAGAAATGATTAGAAGCCTTAAAATGCACTTCTGGTTGTCCCTCATCAAGCCAGTCAATAGATCAGCTGCCCCAAGTGGAGCTTGCTGAAAGGTAAAGCACCCCTGGACGGTTAAGTCCAGTCAAATTTGACTATGGGGTGCAGCGCTCATTTCCGCTTTCGGGCCAAGGGAGCTGGCATTCGTCCACAGACCGCTTTCCAGGTCATGTGGCCAGCATGACTAAACCGCTACTGGTGCAGCGGGACGCTGTGATGGAAGCCAGAGCGCACGGAAACGCTGTTTACCTTCCCACCACAATGGTACCTATTTATCTACTTGCGCTGGTGTGCTTTCGATCCGCTAGGTTGGCAGGAGCTGGGACAGAGCAACGGGAGCTCACCCTGTCACGGGGATTCAGACTGCTGACCTTACGATCAGCAAGCTTAAGAGGCTCAGTGGTTTACACCACAGTGCCACCTGTGTACCTACTTGCTGAAAGTGCCAAGCTTACATGCTTATTAGAGCTTACATGCTAATTTAGAGCTTACATGCTAGGATTGGCTGTGCTACAGGATTCCCAGTTTGGGGAACTCCATATTGCTAAAGCAGGCTTGCATTAAGCACCCATCGGTGCCAACAGGAAGCGCTGGTAGGGTTGGCACTGATATCAAGCCCTCAAGTAGGGCTTGCTATGAACACAAATCTTCCTTTGCATTCAATAGTTTTTGGTAAAGCAAAAAATAACTTTGGGGCAATTGGCATCAGTGCTATGCCAGGTAATTGACAGGTGATTGACCCTAGTTACCACTCAAAATGGCCTATGGATGCAGGTAAGGATCCAGCCCACCCACCAGATCCCGTTCTCCACCTTTGGGCTAGCTTGTTGTGTTGCATGATAGCATGTGGGCTGCTTCAATTACTGTAAATCCATTCATTTCGTTGAAAAGAAGGTAACTATTGTTGTGCTTGCTGCAGCTATTTGATAATATAGAACCAAACTCTTTGCATTCTTTCTGCACACCTTCTTCGGAGTAATCCCTATTGAGTATAATAGGATTTTCTTCCGAGTAGGCATGCGTAGGAATAGGCTGTAAGATTTTTAAGTTGTTGACTCGTTCAGATGAGGGATTGGTCAAGTACACTGAATTTTACCCGTCACCAGATAGGCTGGTTGTCTGAATCATACCAATGTGTGTGTGTTTGCATACATGGCAGAGAGAGGGTTTTTCCCCCCAGATCTGTAATGCCAAAACTGCAGAAGGTAACGTTCAGCTGGCCCTACATCTATCAATAATGTCTCTTGTGGCAGGGAAAAGCTCCTCAGCCACAGTGTCTCGGATCTTTGCAGGACTAAAATAGAGGAAGAAGCCTTTCAAGCTTTCTTCTCCTCAGTTGCAACCATTTCAGCAGGGCTGGCTAACCTGTGGTCCACAGATGTTGCTGAATTAGAGCTCCTATATAATTCCTGACGGTTGTCCATGCCAGCTGGGGCTGATGGGAAGTGGAGTCCAGCAACATCTGGAAGGCCCAAGATTAGCCTGAATTAAGGACTCAGTGGCACCAGCTCTTGGCCAAGATCTGCAAGACTTTTCAGTGCTTTGGAGCATGTGTGGCTGTGCAGATAACACACAATACTTTCTTTCATGTGAGAGAGAGAGAGAAAGAGAGAGTGTCAGGGTGGTGGAGGAATCTGTTCCTAAGGAGCCTTAAGAACTATCTATTTTCATTTTTGGCATGGGATTTTTGGCAAAGTATAGCTTGGTGACATTTCCAAAAATGATGGAGGGGGGAAACAAAGGGAAGAATTCCATCTGTAGAGCCAAGAGAGGAATCTCCTTAAATAAGTTGGGTTGCAGCCAGTACATTCATCCCTGGTCACTGGCTGTGTCTCTCTCTTGACCATGTCAATGTTGCGATGTGAAAATATACGTCCATTCCCAATTCCTAATTTGTGCTCTGTGTGTTTGTTTTTCATCTCCAGGGGAGTAATAGGAAAGCAAGGGTACCAATGTCAAGGTAAGGAAAATTTGACATACAAATATAAGATCTGTGGTGTAAGTTATAAGGAGCTAGCGTCTTTGCCATTCGTTGGTTCTTGGAACAGGATCAGTGATCAATCACCATAAAGCAATATAAAAGACAGCAGGATCAAACAATCAGTCAAACAAACAAATAACATTCAGCTCGGAGTTATGTCATTTAAACGAATAAAGAATAATTATGCAAAAGCAACTTAAAAGAAATTGAAAAATTGTCCAGTAGCACCTTAGAGACCAACTAAGTTTGTTCTGGGTATAAGCTTTCATGTGCATGCATACTTCTTCAGATACTCTTCAGATATTTGAAGAAGTGTACATGCACACGAAAGCCTATACCCAGAGCAAACTTAGTTGGTCTCTAGGGTGCTACTGGACAATTTATTATTATTATTATTTATTTTGGCTGTGTTAGACCAACACAGCTACGTACCTGAATTTAAAAGAAATTGGTCCTTAATGCTTGCTTCTAGGTGAAGAGGCATGGACCTTTACAAAACTCACTGAAAAAAGAATTTCACAAGTGGGGGGCCACTACTGAAAAGGCCCTCCCTCTCATAGCCATCAGTTTAATGGACATCAGTGGCAGGCACAGGAGCACAGCACTGGGGATGTAGTGTGGGGAAGTTGACATGAGTGCAGGCCCCAAGCTGTTTAGGGCCTTCAAGATAAAAAATGAGTGCTTTGTGTTGTGAATTCGCAGGATCTCTTTTGTGTGCCACAAGGGCCCCATGATTCTCTTGATAGCAGCATTGGAACAGCATGCAATGGGTTGCATTCAGCAGAGTTGTCCCGTTTGGGCAAGGACCTCTGCTTGCACAGCACAAGTTGCCGTCCCTTTCATACCCCAGCAAATCCCCAATATCCCCAGTCTTCTCCAAAGAGTTGGTAGGGGAAAACCCAGAAGAGATTTCAGGGGCAGAAGTGGGGAGGAGAAGGAGGGGAAGTTCCACTAGATGCGAACAAGACAACTTGGTTGCAGCCTCTCCCCCAACCCTGTCCCAATTCAGCTCAGGTACCATAACCCAGTTAAGAAGTGTATTGCTTAGGTTTTTCAGATCCTCTGGGACTTGTGGGTAGGAATGGGAAGCAACCCTCCAGAATTTCCCTATCCCTTTTTCATTTTCAGTTACCTCATCCCTTCTGGACAAAATAATCAAACTGCCTTTGTGAAAACTCAAACTTGATACGGTTTCTCTTGTTTACAGTTTGCACTTGCGTAGTCCATAAGCGATGCCATGAGCTTATAATAACGAAATGCGCTGGGTTGAAGAAGCAGGAAGCCCACGATGAGGTAAATATTTATAGAACAAATGCTCTAGATAAAAGGGAGTTGTGCTGTTTTGTGGATTTTTTTTCATATATATAAAGTCAGGCCAAGTCACTGTCACCTCCCCTGTTTGTTAAAAGACAGGGAGAAGGAGATGGATCCCGACTGCACCCTTCTAATCTCTCTTTAGTCCACCATTTACTTTCTTACATGACTGAGAACCGTTGTGCACAATTTCCCTGGGAACTATTGCCACTGTTTGTTTTTAAAAGAGGGCCAGCTCTGAATTCTGAGAATGGAACTGGATACTGGCCACCCAAAGCAGTGGCCCTGTCTTCAGAGCCTGCTCAAGAAATTCTGCTGCCTGAGGCAAAAGACAAGATGGCTGCCCCATTACCACTCCATATACAGAAGCCAACCAGACTGGCAGCTGAATCCCATTTCAGCGCTGATGATGTGTCTTTGTCCTCTGCCGTCTGTGGTTCTACATGGTTCCTGTGCACAGCTTCTCACCCGAAGCAGTTTGCATTTCCAATTTTGAATTGGCAGGGTGAATCTAGACTCAGGGTAGAGCTGACAGTGTGCAGAATCTTTTTCTCTCTTGTCCTCTTGCAAAAAGTAGAGTGCCGCTGCAGTCTGTTCTCTGGGATGCCCCACCCCATAATATCTCAGTTTTGTTTCAGAGAGCCATTGCACTACCATCTTCTGCTCCCACCCCCGGAGCTTACAAGCCAGTGTTTGTGCTTTTAAAAGCCATGACCTCTTGTGCCAGATGTTAATCTACCAACTTGTGCCATCCTTCTATGCCAGCGGGGATATGGAAGTTCCTGTGTAGATTTACATTCTCTGGCTCCAGACTACAGGAAGCCTTAAAGCATTTCTGAATTGGTGCTCTTATTGTTTTAAAGAACTTCTGGGTAGAAGCCAGCGATAAGAAGTGGGTGGGAATATGCCATGTATCTCCATCTGCAAGTGGAACTTTTTAAAACAACCAGAAGATTATTTATGTAGCACAAGTGATTCATTTAGGGACAATGTTGGTGCTGATTTGCAAACGGCATTTGGTAGGATCCCGATGTTTCTTGAAAGATGACCAGAGGGTCCTCAGCAAGATTGGCAAGTTGACCCGAACCACTCTGTACTGCTGATATTCCCCTGCAACATGCATAAGAAGCTGCCTAATACAGTCTCAGATTGCCATTCCACCTAGCCCAATACTGTCTGCTCTGACCACCAGCAGCTGTCCAGGAGTTCAGGCAGAGCCTCTTTCTCCTTGTCTGCTGCCTGATCCTCTTCACTGGGGACCAAAGATATTCAATAGCCTGGGATTTTCCACATGCAGAGCGTACTCTCTATCGCTGCGCAGTTAACCCTCCCTTAAAAGGTACAGCTTACTCCCATCTCAGTATCCTTGATTCACAGAATTAAAGAATTGAAGAGTTGGAAAGAACCACAAGGGTTATCTAGTCCAATGCAGTCCCACAGCTGTCCCTGGGTGGGCTCAAACCACCAACTTTCTGGCTAACAGCTAGACCCACTGACCCACAGAAGTCCACCATTTTGCATATGCAGGGATTGGCACTCGGGGAATTGGGTTTGCTTTTGTTACATATGGAAAATGTAGAAGTACTTTGCAAGGCCTTCACTGGAAAAGACTAGACATACCAGAGTGGTGTTTTTGTGATTTTCTGCCAGGTGGGCTCCCAGCGCTTCAGTGTCAACATGCCTCACAAGTTCAGCATTCACAATTACAAAGTGCCCACCTTCTGTGACCACTGTGGTTCGTTGCTCTGGGGTCTTCTGAGACAAGGTTTACAATGCAAAGGTAGGTTGTGCTTCCTCGTTTGCGCTTGTGCTTAATAATAAAGCAAATAACAAAACGAAGCCTGTTCTGCCTATTATGCAACACAGCTGTTTTTCTCACTTGTTGTGGAAATTTATTTGGATGCCTATATTTCATGAATTTTGCATTTTCTTGTATAGTATCAGTATTTATGTCTGTTTGTCACTTTATACACCTGCATAAAAAAAATCTAAAAGTGACTTTAGCAGGATAAAATAGGAACAGATAAAATAAACAGAAACCAAGGAAAGTTAAAACTTTTCCCAAAATGCTCATCGAACAACACAGTAACCTATCCCAAGTGCTTTACATATGCTCCTTAATGTACATGCCTTTGGTATTCTTTTAGTATTAGGTGCATAAAGATTTGTACAAATAATAAATTGCTTTAAAATGCACTACCTTACCATAGAAATTCCTGGATTCCCCAGTTACATTTCATAGAGAGTGGGGTAGCCAGAACCCTGGATTTTTTCCCATATGAACTCACACATTTAGTCCTTGAGTGGTTAGCTTCTCATTCTTTGCCATCTCATTTTCGCACCAGGAACAATTTATCTGCAATAGCAACCTTAAGTGGAGGAAATCAAAACATGTCTGCATCTGAGTTAAAGCCCCCCGTTTTTTTTTAAATATACACACTTGCATGCCTGCAGCAAGCAGAACAAAAACAACCCAGAATAATTCAGAAAGAGAGAACAGGATAAATGGAGTTGGTTGGCAACAGCTGCTGCCAGCCCTGTTGGCTTATTCAATTCTTGGCAGATTTGTAGAGATGCCTCCCTGTCTCCTTATGTTCACTTAATTGGATTACTTGGACCCTTTTTTTAACCTTTTAATTTATGATGTTTTGGGAACATGCAGGGTTGTCCTACTGCGGGTGGTCACAGAATTCAAAGTAAGCTCTGAAGTATCTATGGCTGCTGTTATTAGGGTCCGTTTCTGAAACCAGAGGCGTATTGCTTTCCCTTGTTTTTGGTTTGATCTTGCAACATAAGGTATTCAAGGAGCATCCTACTAAGGCAATGTTTCTGAAACACAACAGCTTTATTTAAAAAAATCACAGCGGTGGTGGGCGATAGATAGGAATGTCAACTTTTTGAAAAAGTTGTCCTATAAGGGGGGGAAAAGTGCCCATATTAGGACTTTGTTAGGCCAACAAAAATATCATCATTTTTTTTGCAAGCTTTCAACTTCATCATAAATTTTATGGTGGATCGTCTCCCACCTGCCTCTTATCAGGAGTGACTAGCATCTGGTTGTGGGATTTGTGGAGATGGAGGTTCAGCTGTTACCTGTTTCTTCTTCTCAGGAGTTTGGGATACAACATGAAAACTGCAAGCATCTGAAAGTTCATTTTCCACACCCCCATCTTAAAAACTTACTAGATGCAGCCACGTATAGCTTGACTAACACCAGCAGCCTTTTTATCTCCCCCCCACCCCCCTTAAGTTTTGTTGTAACACCTAGTCTGGAGAACTCAAAAATTTGCACACCATTTTATGAAGTTTTGGTTGGCCTAGTAAACCTATAGCTCTAATATGGACTTCGGACTTTTAGAAAAGTTTCCTTCAGTGATTTAATTCTCATTCCAGTAGCAGTGGGAATGGAAGGACAGGGATGGGGAGCCTGTGCCCCTTGCCCCAATAAATTAATAGAATCATAGAATAGCGGCGTTGGACCCCACGGGTCATCTAGTCCAACCCCCTGCAATGCAGGAATCTCAACTAAAGTATCCATGACAGATCCAACCTCTGCTTAAAAACCTGCAATGAAGGGGAGTCCACCACCTTCTGAGGGAGACTGTTCCACTGTCAAACACCTCTTACCTTTGGAAGGTTCTTCCTGATGTTTAGTCAAAACCTCCTCTCCTGTAACTTGGATCATCTGTTCGAATCCTATCCTCTGGAGCACGATAGGATAAACGAACTTGCTCCATCTTCTGTGTAACAGCCCTTTAGATGATGATGATGATGATAATTTATTATTTATACTCCGACCATCTGGCTGGGTTTCTCCAGCTACTCTGGGCGGCTTCCAACGGAATATTAAAATTCAATAACCTATTAAACATTAAAAGCTTCCCTAAACAGGGCTGCCTTCAGATGTCTTCTAAAAGTCTGGTAGTTGTTTTTCTCTTTGACATCTGGTGGGAGGGCGTTCCACAGGGCAGGTGCCACTACCGAGAAGGTCCTCTGCCTGGTTCCCTGTAACTTGGCTTCTCGCAGCGAGGGCCCTTGCCGCTGGACCTCAGT